TCTAGCACTCAAAGCCTAAGTCAGAAGTCGAGGGAATGCTAGTGTTAGGTAGGATAATTGATGTTTCCTTAGAATACTGAAATAGCCTGCATTGAAAAGCTGTAGTGAAGAATCAGTCCTTTAGTAACTGGACTAGTTACTAGCTTGACAAGAGTGTTCAATGGTAGGTAAATTGCCGTAATTAGCTAGCTTTGTCATTGCCTTACAAGTTCTAAGAATTCTTTGCTAGCATATGGAAACTGCAGTGTCCTTGGAGAAAAGAAGTGTTGTGCCTCCAACAGAAACCTCTGAGACGAAAGCTGCTCTCTTGGCTAGTTCATATGTGGAAATAGTCCTGTAATTCGAGGTAACTCCTTTTGCTCATGTCCGCATCCTTCCTCTTGTTGAGAGCTCATTTGAAAGTCTAATGTACCTGTGAAATATTCCTTTTGACAATTTTGGTCAACTGATGGAAAAATTTTAACCCATGCCGTATGCAACCTTTGGCTTGTGGCACAACTTCAGTTCCACAGATCAGAGTTGGGCATGCAGTCATGTCTTGCTAGTAGGTATGGAAGCAAGATGGGAAACGAATTCCCTGACTTGATATGTGTTCATCTATTGAGAATCTTCCTAGACTTCATTAAGTTGCTCACTTTAATTGTAGCTTTCTTTGCCATCCTACTTGTTGCCATTAACTTTTTCCCATAGCCCACACTTCCTAAGCAGCCATGTCAAAGTGGTTAACTCTCTGCTTAGGGATCAAATGATACATTGGCTGGCATATCAAAGGCATCAGCCAGCCCTGGAACAGTTTTCCCAGACTGTGCTTCTGTGATGTGATGGGTTCAGCGAATGGCTTGTGAAACCCTCGTATATGATGTGACTTGTGTTGGGGGAGGTGGGTGGCAATGTAAAGTCTCCGTTTGATATTTTTATTAATGCATCTTTGCTTTGGCAGGCTGAAGAGAAGATGGACATGTGACATGGAAGCTGAGTGGGGATTCTGAGGAAGGAGAGCATTCGTTCCAAGGAAGCAGGACCAAGACATGAGTTTGCCAACCAGGTAACATCTCTTCAATCCACCTCCCACCCCTGTAGCTTTTCCTGAGCCAGAAGGCTTGGTGCTGGTACTGTTTCACGGTACTGTTCTGTAGGTGGTAAAGTCTGATCAGTAGTTTCTAGGTGAGAATTCCTGTAGTTTTTTCTCTGCTTTTAAATTCACTGTCTTAATTTTATTTCAGCAATGAAATGCATCAGAGAAGACAAAGAAGGACAGCCATTGACTGGAGTGGTGGAGATGAAGATCTTTGAGCAGTGTTGTTACTGATTTTTATATAGGCCAATTGAATGAGGAAATAAGTCAATTAAGCTAGAATAAAATACTGGAATGTGGAAAAAAAAAAAAAAGAATCTCTGTAGTACATTTGTGGGGAAACATAAGAATGCTAGTTTGTAGCCAAGGCATTCAACAGAAATCTAGTTAAGTGGTGTATAGCCCGGCTAAAAGTACAAAATAAAGCAGTGCTGTTGTGGTTTGGGAGGTAGACAGAGAGGGTAGCCTGTCTTTAAGGGCAAGTTTGAGGAAGGAATTAAATGGTGTCATTGTAACCTTGAATTGTGGCCTATTAAGTTTGTTCATCTTCAAAACTCAGTAGTGAAGCAGCTACATCTGAGGTGAACTGTCAGATGAGCAATTACATAAACAAGGAGTCAGTACTTGTGTGAAACAGAAGCTGCTGCTGCCAGTTGAAATGGTAACAAGTACAAAAGTCTAATTTGCACTTAATTGCTAAAGCTTTTTTGAGTGCAGATAATTATTTCCTTGCATACACACTAGAGGAATTAAAATTGTTCTGTTGACGACAGTTGAGATGGGATGTTACTGCTCTTCTCAGAAGTGGCTGTACATTTGAACACACAGCAGTTTTCAGGTGGGATGTGAGATTTGCCTGTCCTGCAACTGATGATATCTGTGTGGTTAAGTACTTGGGCTCAAGATAAGGTTGCCCCAGGTAACCCAAACTTCCTAGTTTGGGTTTGTTTCTGTGTTGGAATTTTCTAGTAGAGCAATCTCATTGAGTGAAAACTGTTAGGAGCTTGGAGATGGGAACTGGAACAAGGCACGCGTGGAAGCAGTACTGGGCTGTGCCGCTGGTGAGTACTGCAGCTAGAGGCTTCAGATGGGTGGTGGGAGGGTTCAGACTTACGAGGCTAGTAAGATAGTACTAGTAGGATGGTAACTGGATTCACTGATCTGATTAATGCCCGTACAGCTGGGGCATGGTATGAGCTGTCTGGATGAGTTAATGAGCCCTAGCAGCTGGCAGTTTTTTAAAAGTTGTGAAATACTTGCCTGTATTTAAAGAGGAGCTGCATAGTCAGAACAGATCCAACTGCTCTGTGTGAATGGGAAATTCAGCCCAGGATGAAAGGCAAATAAGCCGCCAATTGCAGAGACTGCAATTTTGTATTGATTCCTTTTGACTCTGGAATAGAATGGCTAATAAAAAACTTAGTGCCATCTTCCTTAATTAGCAGATGTTGCCTTTTATTTGCAATGTCTATTGTATTCTGCAGAGACTATTCTGTGCAGGAGTTAAAACACTTGGCTTGTGTTGTTTAATTAAGCTTCTTGATTGTTGCTTTGTTAACTGCTGTAATTTCTTTTGCCCTGCCTTGCATCCAAACACCTCGTAGCTCCTGTACCTGGCCTGCAGGGCTTGCGCTGCCTGAGCAGTGTGGTGCAGGGCGCTAAAGATCGGCTTTTACTCTGTAGAAGGGTGGGTAAGGTGCAGAGCAAGGGAACTCAAATTTCCTTGCAGGAAGTTTGTGCTTTGATATTGATGAAATATTTAATGTTTTTCTCATCTATTGACCTTCACTTGCTCCCCAGTAAGGTTACTGGGAGAATTTCAGCCTTCTGTGGTAGTTGGGGTATGCCATAGAGATCAAACTTTCTAACCCCAACTTTGTTGGTGTTTTCTCCTGCCCAGTTTTGTCCCATCTTCCAAATGGACCATCAAAAACTGACAAGACAAACTGCCCTTTTCTTCCTCTTCTGTATGTGTAGAATATTTGATCTTAATTTTTTATTCACTTGCTGCCTAGTCCCTGGCTTGTATAGAAGTCAGATGAGTGCTGGTTGCTGAATTCTTCCAGCTGGTCCTTGACTCCAGCTCTTGTGTGCTGCAGCTTATAAGAACTCTCCTAAGTAGTGGTGGATGATTTTTGATACATCACACTAACTCAAACCATCCTTAGAAGTCTGCCTTTCAGGCTGTCATCTTCGATACGCTACACCCGTGTCTTGCCACGCTACACCGCAGAGCGGAAGCAGATGACTTTATTTCTACTCTGCCCCTGGTCTGATCCCTGGCACGGGGCTCTAAAGTGAGCGTTGCCTTCCTGAGACCCGAAGTGACCGCACTCATTTGGCTCAGACTGGATCGATGCACGTGCTTGGTGTTCATGAAAAATGAGGTCTCGTTCCCAGTTAAACCCTGAAAATGTAGCAGCTCAACAAGGAGGATTTATACTGCTAGAGAGGCTGACAGCTGTGAATGTATTTTTGGCAGCTTTGAAGAGAATGGGGCAGGAGGGTGCAATGTGATATGTGAAGGCAGTAAGAGGGTTTCTGATGGTCTCTGCTACTGCTGCCCACTCACTTTATGTTAAAAGAACAGTCAATTGCTTTATCCTGCTTTTTTCTCCCCTTTTTTTTTAACTGATACTTATCTGGTTTTTGTGCTAGGTCCCACTTGAAGGACAGCAGTGTATTATGCAAAAAAGTCTGCTCGTGTAGCCCAAGTGTCTTTGAAGAAATTATGTGGGTATTGTGCCCAGTAACAATTAGTGCTGCAGCGTGTTTGAAGGGCAGAATGATTGAGTATTCTCTAGTCCATGATGTAAAGCCTGGTTATTAAGGATGGCTGTGGTGGTTTGCCAGCCTACTGAGGCGTAGCTTTGAATCTGCTCTCCAGAGCAGACAGCGTGATGGAGGCCAGACACTTAGCTGCCAGAAATGAACTAAATTAATGGGTGAAGTCAGCTTTAAAAACTTGCGCTTTTATTAAGAAATGTGTTCTCTTGCTGGGAGTCTCAGGCTCAAAAGAATTCAGTAGGGGAGTAAGCAGGGTGCCTGCTCATGAGTCCCCCATTGCAAGGATGAGTCCGCAAGAGCCCTGGGGGCATTCTTGCATGAAGAAAGGGAATGATTACCAAGCTTGCTTTCCAAAACCTACTTTTCATCTTTTTTTAACCTTTTTCAAATTATCTTATTCAAATTATAAGTGAGCAGGGTTTAAAAAAATAAATCAGCTGACACACTTTTGGGGGCTGTATCTAGCAATTCACCAGTGAAGATTTTTGCATGTTAATGGAGGATGTTACTAAATATAGGGACATAAGAGTGTGAGAAACCTTTGCTGATAAAAATGCAGTTGGGTGACGTTTAAATGAATTCAAACTGTAAATACTTACAAAGCATTATTTGAAAGGTGTTCCTAAATAGGATGCTTGTATGCGTAAACCCAGGCAGAAATAATTAATAGGTGCAAAAATAGAGGCCTAGTTTAGAGGTGCTGATATTTTGGCATTACTAATTACAACGCTGCATTAATGATTTGTTGCTGGGTTGAGCTGAGGGAAGAGCTAGCTGGAGGGAGCTGGATGAAAAACCCAGTCACATCCTCAGGAAGATGCTCAGGGGCCTCGGACCTGCTGTGACATCTGCTGGGGGTGGCCCATTGCCAGCCAAAATGCCTTTTTTTCTTCAAGTCCGGGCAGCTCCAGGCCCTTCCTTGAGAGGAAAGCTTACAGGTGGGAGCGGAGCTGTTGCTTCAGGGTGGCTGATGGGTCCCTCCGGGTCAGGCGGAGAAACAAGGCGGGGGGTTAGAAATGCTCAAAATGTTCGTGTTTCAAGCAGCGTTCGCTCCTGGTCGGGGAAGTTGCCGTCACGGCAGCCCTGAGGGAGAAACGACGGCCCTGAGGGGGAAAATGGCGGCCCGGAGGGAGCGAGGGAGGCTTGCTGTGAGGCGGGAAATGGTGGCCCTGAGGAGGTGATGGCAGCTGCGAGGGGGGGTCCGGCGGCGCCGCGGAGGACTCGCCTTGTGACGGGAAAACCGGCGGCGGGGGCAGGCCGGCCCGGAACGGCGCTGCCCCGGAACGCCGTGTGCGGCTCCGCCGGGCCCGCCCGGTTCCTGCGCCGCGCCGTCCCGCCGCCTTCCTGCGCCCGCCCCGCCGAGCCGCCGCTCACCCGGCCCGGCCATGCTGCGGCCGGAGCCCTTCTGCCTCCTCCTCCTCCTCCTCCTCCTCCTGCACCTCGGCCGGGCCGCCTCCCCCGCTCCTCCGGCCACCCCGACCCCGCTCAACGGCACCGGCGCCGCCGCGGGGAACGCGACCTGGCCGGGCCCGCCGCCGGCATCGCGGCGGCCGCCGGGCTCGGGGCTGCGGCCGGGCTCGGGGCTGCCGGTGCTGAGGCGGGCCGTGTACGTGCTCAGCGCCCTCTCCGTGCTGGCCGCGCTCTATTTCCTCCTGCGGGCGTTCCGGTGAGTGCGGACCGGCCCGCGGCCCTTCCCCTGCGTCCCCCGGGCCCGCGGGTTGTGCCCCGTTTGCTCTGGATCCCCCCCCCGCCCACCCCCCCCGCCAGGCCGGAGCTGAGCTTCCCTGTGCATCCCTCCGGCTGCATGTACAAAACGCCGCTGTAAATAAATTCATGCCGCTGTTAATGACCCAAGGTAATTAGCAGCGATGAAACGTCTCCTCGTCCCATTCCTTTATCCCCTTTGGCTCATCGAGGCCCTGTCTCCCCGCAGACCTGTCGTGTGGCAGCGTGCTCACCCTGTGCTCTCCGTGTCCCTCAGCCCTAGGTCAGAGGGACCCCGAAATGAGCGCAAAACTCATTTCAGGTTGAAGAAACCGCAGCGGAAGAAATACGGCCTCCTGTCGAATTACGATGAGAACATAGAGATGGCCTCACTCGACAGCGATGAGGACACGGTGTTTGAAACGAGAAATCTGAGGCGGTAAGTGGGTGTTCTGTGTGTTTCTCTTTTCCTTGTGAGGGGCTGAGAGGCTCTTTTTCTAAAGGCGTGGGAGCTTTGGCACAGATCCTATAGCCAGATCTGCATAAATTAGACTAATGTGTGTGGTCTCTTTGTGTTGGCACACAGACTTTATCTTGCCTTTCTTCATTTTCTGACCAAGCGCACTGAAAGGGACGTACCCCAGTTTGTTTGGGGCACCACTTTGTGCCTTGTGTTTAGCAGGCCCGTAGGAGGGAGAGACAGCCCTCATGTCCAGTCTGAGCCTCCCTGCATTAGACAGGGAAACAAAAACTCCTGGTTTTGTCAGTTTAGGAATTGCTGCCAAGTCACATCGCAGCTAAAACTCATGGTCTTGTTGGGGCATCCATTCCTGCTTTCACAGCGATGTGCTTTCATCCCGTAGATCAGGCAGGTTTGATTTCTGTGGAGGATGTTTTTTTAAAGTGGAGGAGGAATGTTACCTCGGTGTAGCTCGCTGTCTGGCCTCTCAGCTCCCCCAGCTGTTTTGAGGGTGGTAGTGATCTTTCAGGTTGTACATGCTCACTCTGATGCTGGGTGTCTTTTTTTTTTTTTTTTTTTTTTTTTTTCTTCCAGATGATTTGGGACCAGTGGCACCAACTGCACAGACTGACCGAGGGGGTGCAAGTCCAGTGGCATCACCTTACCAGTGCTCAAATTTTATTTTTTTACATTTGCTTATAATGACTAATAATTAAACACTTCCATAGCTGGGGTAGGGGAAAGGGGACCAAACTTGTTTTCTTCACACACATTTTTGGGGAAAGGTGGAGCTGTAAGCTAAGTGATGCTGCATTGGGTGCTGTTAACTGCACAGAGAGATGCTGAGGAAAACGTGACTCCTGGATCAGTGCTCAGTATTTGAAATCGTACTGCTCTGGACTCAATTACTGCAGCTGTGTCTGCTGGCCCATTGGTATTTTATAGGTGCTCATGTCCCTCTCTACTGACTGTGGCAGTCAGCTTGAAGTATCAGGCGAGTGGATTTCTTTTGCAGGCTGATCCTCTCTTAATGCAGCATCAGGTTACTTCTTTAGGAATGTCTCTGTAATCAAATCTGATCTGATAGGAGCTGGGGGAGCTCTTGTTGTCTGTTACTAGTGTGGTGGGTGTGAATAGCGTTGTGTTAGCTCAGACAGAGAGCAGCTTTTGGAATGAGTTAAATGCATCAATTTTCTTGCAGTGGCAGTGTTAGCAGTTACACATGATAATACAGGTCATTACATGGGTTTACACAGCAAAGACATGTTTACAAATTAAAGCTGCCACTTATCCCAGAGGAACATTTCTCCAAAAGAGCAGTCGGTTGTGTAGCCTGTGGGGCTGCGAGTGTTCAGGCTGTTCTGCCCAGCTCCAGTGGTGTGTTCACCAGAGAAATGTGTGACATCTACCAAGCGTCTGGATTTTGTCCTGCGGCCTCTGCCTGAGATGACCTGAGAAAGAGCTGGAGTGCTGCGGTGTGAGTTGGAGAACCTGAACTGCTAGTGTGATGAGTAACCTGTCTCTGAGCATCTGATGACTGGAAAAGGAGGACCCAAACCCCTACGAACTGTGATTCTTAAGGCAAGACAGCCCTGGCTCAGAAATAATCTCTTCTTGAAGGGTACTGGAGTTTCACTCCATTTGCTGGTACTTGAGCAATGTCCCACTGTCAGCCCAGCAAACTGGGATGGTTCTGTGTGGGTGTTTGGGGTCTTATTGTGTGGGACCAAAATGTGAATGTGTTTAGACGGTCATTGTTATGTGGGTCTGCTGCTAAAATGATAAAAACTGCTTGCAAAGTGCTCCTGTTTATGGCACGTTTTAGCCTTGAAGGGAAGGCCCTTCCCTGAAAACTATGGGCAGTGCAGGCCTGTCCCCTAAAGTCCCAATTCTACCCCAAACTGGTAGTGCCTTTGTTCAGGAGAACCCAGGGGAGTTACTCTGCAGGCCAGGGAGCTCCCGGCCTGACCTTGCCTTTAAGATGAAGATCGAGAATGTCTTTGGAGTAACGGCTCCTTTCTTTTGGTTAGCAAATCCTCTGTAGATAACGGGACAAAACTGACAACAGAAAGAGCTGGGCAGAAGGGATATCCTTGTCAAACAGCCAGGACAAATGGTTTTGCTGCAAGTCACAGGGGAGCTCAGGGTCTAGATGCTGCTCTGGAATCCCTCATGAGGCAGCTGAGTGGTGAGATCCTGGCGCTCACTGTGCCAGGGGCAGGGTTTCTCAGTGCAGAGGGGGTGAAGTTTCCTGGAGAAAGGTCACCCCAGGTGCTGGCAGCTCTGTCTTGCACACGTGCAAAAGATTTTTAAATATATATATATTTTTAGTAATGCTGTTATGTGAACACAGCACTTGGACGTGCCCTAATTTCATACCATTTGTATCCTTTCATGCCTCTTAGGTACTTTCTGCTTGTTTGGCTGATGCAGAGATGAAAGCGTTTGCTGCGTTCCTCTGTGAGGACAGCAGTAATGGCTGAAGCTGGCCGTTGCTGCCCCTTGGGTGATCAGAGAGCTTATTTGTGTGGTTCGTGGTGGTGTATCTCCCTTGATCCTGCGCAGGCTGGCAGGTCTATGCACATACTGAGAACTTTCTCTGGCTCTTCAACTCCTTCTACAGAGTTGTTTCTTGCATTGTGCCAGGTAAAGCTGACTGTATTTCAGTCCACTGGTGTGCCCTGGCTCAGCACTGTGACTGACATGCTCCTTGGCCTTTCTTTATCTGAGGTGATTAACTTGCCCATTCTTTAGGCTCTGCTCTTCACTGGGCAGACGGGTTTACAATTTTTAAGTTTCCTTACCTAGCAGGAGTGGATGATTTTTTAAATGTTAACAGTTGGATGATTTTAATCAAAGAGTGCACCTCAAGCCGTAGGTTCTGCCATGAAAATAATTTGGATAGAAGTTTACTTTACTGTAATAAGTATTTAGAATTTGAGCAGGGAAAGATGTGGAGGGGTACAGCCAGAGCACGTAACGAGGTCCTTGTTCTGGTACTATGCAGGCAAATGGTTATTAAGGTGAAGGCCCGGAGGGTGTGCCAGCCGAGCGTCTATGCACCACGTACCTGTTTACAGAATATCTCTGCTGGCTGTCTTTAAAGGGGTGGAGAATAAAAAGTTGATTGGGGGTTGAAGTGCAGCATTGCTATCACTTTTATTCTGATTCTGTTTTGGCTGGAGACAGGTTTGAGCTGGAATCAATGACCCTGTGTGACTATTTCCATTTTCCCCTGAAGCATCCTGTATCTCGGAAGCAGTCAGTAGTCTGGATTTGCTCTTCACAGGCCAAGACATTGCATTCCTGCTCTGTTCTAAATCATTGTTAAAGGCATTTTCTGAGAGGAGAAAACAAGGACACTGATTACAGAGCTGAGACTCCTTCGAGGACAAATCTATTGCTCGGCACAGCTGTTGCTGATCTCCATTTCTCCAGGAAGAGTAATTTGGAGCTATCGCAGCAGCTTTGCCGCACAGCGGTGGAACAGTGCACCCATGGGCAATGAGCGTGAGGCCAGTGCAGGCTGTTTTGGTCAAGGGGGTTGGATCTCACTAGTAGTAGTGGCTTTTAAAGCCTTGCATTATGTTTCCATAATAAGAGAGCAGTTCAGTAGTTACTTCCGTTACAGTTTTAGTTATTCTATGTATATCTGATACCTGTGTTGATAGCCTAGTAGGTCTCTTTGCAACGGTTAGATCCTCTAGTAGTTTTTCAGAACAGATTTAAATACACGGATGCAAACAGATGCACGTGTGCTCTGAGCCAGCTGTGTGCTAGAGCTCTGGCCTGGAGCTGCAGGGCTGCGCCTGTGCAGGGCTGTGCTTGTACGAACACGCGCCGCTGCGCAGGGGAGCGTGTGCCTGTCCCTGGGCAGGCTGATGCCTCACCAGCTACTGCTGCACTTTTCTTTCTGCAGAGTAAATCGGGGTGTTAGTGCGAGGCTTTCCTGCTGGCCTGGGCTCCTGCTGACCCTTGCCAAAAAGCTGTTGGAGCTGGCGGGCACGGGGCGATGACGACTGAGAGCAGAGTGCGCGGTTCCCTACGATGCTGCGCATTCGCCAGCCTGCATGTGTCACAAGTGACTGCTACAGAGTTCTCTTAAAACAATCACTATTGTTTAAGCCAAAGCCTAATTTCAAACGTTTACATAATTGCCTCTCTGATCTTCTTGGAGGGCCGCATCGAATCCTCTCCTGTTGATACTGAACTCCTAGGCGAATCGACTGGACCGTCTGCTGAGGTTAATGAGATTGACTGAGAGCAATATGAGCATCAGCTCTCTATTGTTAATAACGTGCTTCTGTTTTGTTTCATTTGTACGTGTGACTGGAATGGGATCTGCAGTGGTGGAGTGCTGCGAGACGGACCTGTGGTCTGAGCAGATTGCCAAGAAGTCAATAAACCAGCACTTGAGTGCATTGTGTCGTCTGCTCTCAGAAATGGAGGAGCTAGTCTTTCACCCTCCTGCTTGAATTGTTGATTTATTTTTAAATAGCAACCAGTCCTGTATTGATTGATTGGTTTACCTTCATTTACAGCATCCTCCCTCCATTGTATCTTGAAACAAATGAAATAAAGCATTCTGTTTCACCCCGTGCCTCCATGGCAGCGTGCTTGCCCACCGGCATTCAGGGTGGTTTTGTGGGGCCAGTTTGCTGCTGAGCTGAGGGGATGGTGCTGATGGAGCTTTTTTCTGCCCTCTGCACATCGCCTTGTGCTCTGCCTGGCGACAGAGCTGCTCCCTTCTTGTGTGCGAGACCCACGCTTCCCTCCCATTGCCTGCTGCTCACCTTCGCCGATCATCTTGGGGTTTGTTTCAATTTTCTAAAGTCTCCTCCTCCCGTTCCTTTCTCCCTGTTCTCACTTTAATTCATTTTCTTGTCCAGAAGACTAAGTAAAATCCCTGCAAGGGTGATCCCAGCCTCTCCGCAAGTTACATTTTTTGGGAGTTGGGAGGGAGAGGCTGTCCCCTGGGGGGAGGGGATGTCCTGGCTCCTCAGCCTGAAGATTTAAAGCCTGAACAAAATTAAGGGTGTTGCCTGGCACGAACATCTGCATTTCCCCCATCCTGTGGCCGAGGGTGGCTGTGCAGGTTTCGGTCGTGTAGGTGAGCGAGTCCCCTGTGGTCGTGTCCCTCGGTGGTGCCCCGGATCAGGGGGCTGGCGAGAAGGGCAACCCTGTAGATGGCACTCGCAGACCAAAGATGCTGGCTGATGGGGCACCGGCAACACCTGGCGAAGCTGAAAATAAATCCCAATGGCTTAAAAAGACAAGTCTGCCCTGCAGCAGCTTGCCAGGACGGGGCTGGAAGTGCCCTCTCAGGGGCTGGGGGAGCAGCAGAGTTTGGGGCTGCTCTTGGGGTGCGGGTTACCTGGAGAGGGTTTCTCCCAGCTGTGGGTGGTGCTCTCGCCCCTGGCTTCATCTCAGCTGGGTTTAACTGAGCCCTGTTAGTACTTGTCCATAAAGGCTTTTTATGATTCTGGGACAGACAGAGTTTTAAGATACCCTAATTTGATTGAATTCAGCTGTAGGCTCTGGAGCTGAGTACCACGAGGGAAAGGCTTGTCTGTGCAGAGCACAGAGTTGTCTTTGGCTAGTCCAAGGCTTGGCATAAACCCCAGCAGGGCTAAAGCCTGGCCCCAAAGTTTGGTCCCTTCTTCAGGTCGTGTTTCCCAGTCCATGTGCCACCAGTACATGTGGCACAGCGTTGCACAGACATGGGAGAATCCAACCCTACCGCAGCAGCACCCCTTGGCGTGCACCTGGCCTTGCCCGGGGAGCATGATCTGCAAAATTAACTGCTGTGGTTAACGAACTAATGGAGAGTGTTCACCGTGGCAGCAGTATGGGCAGGGCAGCATCATGCTTCCAAGCCCTGGTCTGTGTGAGATGCTGGGGGCGGGCGGTGGGATGCAAGCCAAGAGCTTGTTCATGCTGGGGGTCAGGGGGCTGGTAGCCCCAATTAGCACTAATGGCCACGGCCTGTGCCTGCTGGATTAGCCAGATGGGTTGTCCTCCACACCAGTTGCCTGGCCCAGTTCTCTGCTCTGCTAAAAGCCCGAGCTATCACCTTCACTGAGCAGAGGCTCTCGCTGGGGTCTCCAGCTGGGGACAAGTTCAGGCTGGCTCTGGCTGGGATTCCAGTCACAAACGCAAGCTGGCGGCATGGATCTGCTCTGAATTTATTTTAAACTCAAGTTAAAGTGCTCTTGATGCTTTGGATGCAAATTTCCTTCCTTGAAATGGGAACTGCAGGCCGTTTGCTGAGTGCTGGTAAGCTCTTTTGATTTCACTAGCCTGTTTGCTGCTGCAGCATTGTACCTCGCCGCCGTGCTCCATGGAGTGCAAAATAACCTCTGCGGCAGGTTTCTGGGGGAGGAACCACCTCTCGGCTTTCTGGTGGCATAGAAAAGTGCTTTTCTTGCTCTCTGTTCCCAGACCTGTTTTTTAAAGAGGATTCACATATAGAGCTGGGGTTTTTTGGGTGTGTGTGTGCAGACAATAGTCTGTGTGTGTGAGATTTCTGGTCAGTGTATGGATGAAGAGGTGGCCCAAGTCCCTCTAGTCACCTAGGGAGGGAAAAAGAAGAGAGAAACCTAGCGTTTCGCTGGGTCTAAAGGATGTTTCGGTCATGGATTTCAGAGTTTTTTATCAAGGAGGTAGATTCATCTAGTACCGCAGAGCAGCCTGGTGTTAATAGGTGGCATTCCCTGCGTGGGCAGATCCCCACGCCCTGGGCAGGGACCGGCCAGCCGCTGTCACGGATCACACCGTGAACACACCGGGCCCTGGGTCCCCGTCTGTGGACGGGCAGGCCGGGGGTTAAGCCTTGTGTTCTGCTTCTTGCTTCACGCGGGTCACCCGCGCTTTAGATTTCACCTTTGTGAAATAAGGAGACCTGAGGAATCTTGTTCACGGCTGGCTTGCAACCCACGCTCGAAACCCCGAGCTGGGCTGGGACTGGCCGGACACGGCGTAAGCTGCAAGATGAGTGAGGCAATGAGTGGTCGTGGTAAGATGTTGCAAGTGTTTGGTTCCATTTATTGCTAATGCGGTTGCTGAGCGGCTCTAGGGACTTCAGGGGTGACCAGGCCTCTTGGGAGTGGAACTTCCACGCACCCATTTTTAGCTGCACTCTCAATTTTGCTCCCATCTTTCTGAAGGTGCTGTCGGTGTCCCTCCAGCCCCGGGGGTTCCTCGCAGGGAGCGTCTGTGGTAGTTTTCCTCACCAAATGTTGCAGACAAGATGGTAGACTTAATCCTGCAGCGCCCTGTGGGTACTGGAGTCCCTCTGCAATTGCGTCTCCGTGTTTATTGTGGGATACAGGCTGCATGTTGGGAAGGTAGCTGGAAATGTTTGAAAACCTGCTGTAAGTCTCCTCTGATGTCTTTTCTGTTCCACTCAACAAAGCTCCTCTACACAACTAGCAGGATTCTTCTGTATAAAAAATTAGTTGGCTTTTTGTCTAAATCCTTCTTCTGATCTTTATTTTTTTCCCTTACATGATGGAAAGGTGAATGGAAGTGGCACTTCAGCCACAAAAGCCTTTCCTTTAGAAACATTGGTTGTTTTTGTTTTAAAAATTTTTAAAGGGGGCTTTGCAGGGGAGACTGGAGAAGCATTTTCTTTTTAAGTTACGCTAGGGAATAAAAGTATAAAGGAAAGAAATGATCATAACTATACTGGCAACAGAACAATATTTTTTTTTTGAGTACCAGAGCTAATTGAAGAAGAAATTCACACAACAATTTTTGCAATCTAAGGATGAGTAAACATTAAAGGGGATGCTGTACTTCTGATGCATGCTAATGTATGACTGCATGCATGGAAGGGAGAAGATGTCCCTAAAATTAAATTTGAGATGAACATCTCAGATGTTACACTTCAGTATTTTCTTCTTTACGTCGCCAGATCAAAGGCACAAAGCCCACGTCCAAGGATACCTGTTGAGAGGCTGAAGCTTCAATGCACCTACAAGATGAAATTGCTAGAAAATGGGGATGTCTGGTCCGACTCGGTGGAGGTGCTTCCACGGACTGTGGGATTGCTGTGGATCTGTACGGATCTTGTTTGCTTTGGCAGGGTTTCTTATGGGAGTTCAGAGCCCCCCCTGCCCATGTAGAGGTGCTTGCAGACAGTTACCAGCCACTTTAATTAACATCAGTTTCTGGGATGTAGGCAAATGGGGGGCTGACACGGTGGAGCACCTCACCCAATTCCTGGTGATGTATTGTCGCTTCCAGCGCTGGCAAATTGAACCGAAACGACATTGAACTCGTGTGTGAACGTGCCCTCGCGTCGGCTGGCGCCTCCGCACTCCCTCGCCTGCTGCAGCTTCTCCTGGTTTGGGCACGTTTCCACGCTGGCCGTGCTGCAAACCACAGCAACTGTTGTTGTCGGCACTCGGGGATCCTCTTGCTCTCTTTGCAATCAGAGCAACGCTCCCGTCTGCTGCTTAATAAGAGCCGGGAAATGGAAGTGTCGAGATTTGCAGGTTTTGCAGCTAGAGGAGACCATTATGTTCATCGTGCTCAGCCTCCCGCAGAGCACCGGCTGGTTTGTCCTTTTTTTCTGTGCGGTGAAACTAGACGGTTTCTCTTGGAAAGGATGCCAGCATTCGTCTGAAACAACTGAGCGGCAGAGCGTTTGCTGCATCCCTGATATGCTGCTAATATGTTCTGGTGGTTAATTACTCTCACTCTTTTAAGGAAAAAAAAAAAAACAACCCAACCCTCACGTACTTAAAATAATCCTAATAGTTTCATTGTTCAATCCGAGCTGAGTGCATGCTACCCCCTCTCTCTGGCAGAAGTGGTGTAAATGCTGTTTGTCATAATGAAAAACCCGCTTGTTCACAGTGTTAATGCCCCATCAGTTGAGGGGTTTGAGCCTTCGGGGTGGGGGGCACGGTGCTGCTTTGCCTCCAAAACCCCAGGCAGGGCTGCAGAGTGGTTTTATCCTGGCACTGCCTTACAGCGGTGCCTTCTCCGAGCACATCCCAGCCGAGGTCGACTTCTCCAACAAACGCCTCTTTCTGCTCTCCCTGCCCGGCATGTGACCAGCCTGGGTGCTGCCCGTGGGCGCCTGCCCAAAACTACCTTGGGGCATTTTGCAAAGCTGTCCCTCCAGCTCCCACGCCCAGGGCCACCATCGGGCACCGCTGGCGTTGTCACCCAGCTCTGGAGCATCGATGTCATGCTTGTCCCACCCCCCGAGGCTGCGTGGTCGTAATTTGTTCATTCAGCTTTTGGGCGCATCAAATCTGAACCTTCTGCCTCCGCTCAAGGCAGGTCAGAGGCATCTTGCTGAAATCTGGGGGGGCTGGCCTGCCTCCCCTGGCTCCTGCAGCCGAGGGCATCCCTGGGGAGCAATTCCCAATGGGATGTTTCCCTGGAGGGATGGAGGGTTTGCCGTGGCACCAGGCTGGGGAGCCTCATCATATAAATGGGGAATCTCAAAAAAGATGAGCAGAACTATGGCAGTGTGGCGGTCATTGTGTGCAGCTGAAGGCACAGCGGGGCCTGAGGACATGTTGGTTCAAATTCTCTGGTATCAGGGTATATTCTGATCTCTCTTTTTTTTTTTTTTT